AGAAACGGCATTTTCGAACGCTAGCATGTAATACTCTGGTTCCATGAGGAGACTGAAGATAGCAAATGACTATTTCTTTAAACAATCATTTGCTCAGGAGCTGGGGAAATTAATAATTTAACACAGGATAACATTTCGGTACATATCATATATCATCTGAAGTATAAGTCAGAAGGAGCTGGAAATAAAGCATTAGTTAAAAACATTAGTTAAAAACAATTTCTGAAAAATTAAAACACTGCGAAACCAAATTATATGGAGTCTTCTTTTCAATAGCAATAACACGGCAATATAGCCACTCTAATGGAGTGGAGAGACCTGTTTAGTAACTTAACAAAGATTATTTAACTAAACAAGGTAATGCAAGGTTAGCTTTGAGGAGACAGTATTCCTTTGTGTGGACTGCGTCTGGAGTTTCTCACCAATTCACGACTGGCTGTGAGAGAATATACTTTGATGTGAGGAAATTAAACAAAGAGGAAGGTCAGTTGCCATGGCTACGTGTGTGGAGGCGTAGTTTAGGGTTTCCTGCCCTCCCTACAGTTCTGATAGGCTGAGAGAAAAAGAATTTGGGATCTCCAAATTTATTTGATATAAAATGAACAAATCCATACTGGCTGATCCACTACAAAAGCATTGCTGCAAAAAACTCTTGCGCTTTTATTTTGGAGCCACAATCACTTCCTCTTAAGTGACTGTGTTAGTTACTGTAGCTGTCATGACTGAGATCTATTTCAACACTAGCTATCAATTTATTTATATTTCTGTTAGCAATCTGGCCTGGGGCCGCCTATTGCCGACCACTGCTTTACACTGTCTGTCTGAAACAACAGAGACCAACCAATAAACAACATTACTGCATTGTTAGATTTTCTGTTTAGTTGTTATTTTTAACCTTATTAATGAAATGTGAACTTTCTCTGTTCTTTCGGGCAGTAGACAACAATGCTCCACTGAGCTCACCTGACATTGTGCTCATTCCAGTTTGTCTCCATGTAACGTTTCAGAAAGTATACTGGCAGATAAACACTACTTTACATTTTTAAAACTAATGGTCAGTTCTGTGTTCTTCTGTTCGTTCAGAAAAATAGCATGAAGTTCAATAGCAGAGCATTGTAAGAGTTTACAGTGTGCCAATTTGAAAAGTTTATCATTTTTAGTTCTGCTTTGATCACAGTAAATCCCAACACACTGCCACAGATGGAAGTCAGAGTGATAAATAAATCTCAAGCTTCACCATATTGCATTTGTGAAATGTATTGTGTTCAAAATGCACCTGAAGTGATTTTATCTAAAGTGCCTGCTGCAGCATTTTAGTCAGCTTCGTCCTCAATTACCTCTGAAAGACATACAGATCAAATGCTAATGGTTAAATGCAGAGCCACTCCCCACAGTAATAATAATACATTTTATTTGTTCTTTCTGTTTGTCATATTTATTTGTTTTATAGGTACGCAAATGCACTGTACAAGACAACAACATTGTTGAACACACTGGATAAATCATGATTCAAAAGATGTCTTATAATCAATTTCAACGTCATAAAAGCAATTCTAGCAGTCATTCAAAGCATCAGAGGAAGATGAGCATGTCATTCATTTTCAGTTTCTTAGAAAGTATCCTTCCAGCAGATAAAAAAACATAACATTTTGTACAGTGCTCAGGTGTTGTAATAAGATCAGAAGCTTCATACATTGCAAACAAAGAAAATGTAGACAAAAAAAATGTCTTACCTGCAGCTAACAGTTCAATTATTTGAAGTACCAGTTTCCTTCAGTGGTTTTCTGTTCATCTTGAACAAATGTTTAAAATCCTGCTGCAGTCCTGTGTGACGGCTTTAAGGAAAGTCTCAAGCTGCAAAGTGTCGCTGATGTTGCTCTTTAGTGTACTTCTACTTTCAGTTTTTGACAATGTTGTTTTTTCAACATAGGAGTAAATAATATGTTTTGTGAAGGGACTCTAGTGGCCTAAAATACATGTTAATACACATATGCTTGATTAATATGATCTTTTAATAGAAGTTATTTACACCAGTTTATATTTAATGTCCTCACCCAGCTTTACCCCACCCCACTTTACAACACAAAGTGACGCCCTTGCTTTCTAGTTACAGTGCTAGTAAACAGAGCTGAACGCTTTACAAGAAAGAATGACCTCCTTTAGCATCTATTAATTCATTAAGGTGTTTTTCTCCAAAATAATATACTAATGGACTGAATTCAGTAGAAAACAAATGATTTGGTCGCCCCCTTCGGAAGGCCAGCCACATTTGTATTACACATTTCTTCTTCCTTATTGCATGATTTAAAATAATACACTGAGAAACAAGTCCATTATCATCCTGCACTGCAACAGCTCTTCAGGCAGGCTGGAGTAGAAAACAAACTTGCCTTTCTCAAGTTATACAGTAATGTAATAATGTGAAATATACTGTATATGACAAACACAGCTAACCTTGAATGTAAACGGGGTACAGAGGAGCCTAGGATTTATTTTCATTCCTAACACACAATAGATGAAGCTGTGCAGACTGTTGTAAAAAACAAATCTTGCATGATGTTCTCCACCTGTTATTCTGTAGCTACACAGAAATATTATGGGTGTGGGCTTTATGAAAAGTATCCACTGTTCTCCCATGCTCTAATAACACAGACGTGTGTTAGACGTGTGGTGGATTAAAAGGTATTTATTCTGTTGTTTTGAAGTTATTTTTTCTGTTGCTCTCCTCCTCCTCCTCCTCCTCCTCCTCCTGTGAGTGATGACCACAGCATGCTGCCTTGTCTTCAGTGCTTTAGGCCACTCACTGTGACAACCAGTTCCTCCCGAGTCATACACACGATTAGGTCTTATGAACGAAACGTTCATTGAACGACACAACACTAGTCTGAGTTTCAGAGTTTCAGAGCAGAGCTGCATGACAGCGCTGCCACAAATGACGTGAGTCGCAAGCTCGCAACTGTGTAGGCGTATCTCCGCAAAGTAGGTGTTGTAAACTCAGCTCTGAACAAATAGTCTGCAATAGGAGTGCAAATGTAATGTAATGTAATAAAGTTTCACCTTTTTGAACCTCAGTTTTCAGAGTTTCAAAACTTTTTTTCACACATTCACACACCAGTTTTCAGGTTTCAAACCTGGAAAACAAACTAATTCACTGGGAGAACACTGACAAATTTGAAACTCTGATAAATTGTTCTGAAGAAGGACAATTCAAAAACAACATAATGTTTGCAGAGATTTAAAATACCCTATGCAGACCCCCGATATAACAATAACACAGTTAAAAAAGACAAAAAGAAACAATTTAACTACGTAATACTTAATCATAGCAGAAGGTCAAAAAGCTATAGCACTTATCACTAAATCAACAAAATCTAAAGATGTCAAGAAAATCAGGAAGGCAAAACCCTCTTATTCTGAAATGCTCCCTGTGGGATCTGCAGATCGGAGTGAAAGCGGATGACATAAGTCGCTTTTCCACTGCACGGTACCAGCTTGACTCGCCTCAACTTGCCTTTTATTGGTTTTCCACTGTGGAAAAGTTGTACCTGCTTCCAGGTACTTTTTTTTGGATCACCTCCTTTGAGGTAATTCCAAGCGAGTTGAGGCAAAATGTGACGTGAAAACACAGCAGATAGTTAATTAGTCAGAGAGAATCCTCACTATTCACTGCATCAGCATTGGTTTTCATACCGCTTATCTGTCTTTACATTCAGGACCGGAACTGCATATCTAGGACCCACGTTTACTTTGATACTGCCAGCTAGCTGGCTGGGTAGCTAGCTATGTTACTCTTGACAGCCCCCCGAAGCCAATAATCCTTACCCTAACCATCACCGAGTGTGTGCCTGAACATATTTTATTGATTATATGCATGTCGACCGGTTAACCCTACAGCTGCGCACATCGGCCGTGTTGCTGTGCATTACCACCACCACTCCACTAGATGGCGCTGTCGCAAAAGAACTACGGTCCTAGCACTGCAGCCTCTGGTACTGCAGCTACATAATATTGAAACCACGGCCCACACGCCGCCTGTGTGAGTCCGGGGTTATATATAGCAGCCTAAGAATTCCCATGATGCATGGCGGTGAAGGGAGTTTTTAAAAAAAATGTCTGCTTAGAATATTGAGGGTTTTTTTGGTAATTGTCATTCTCATGGAGGTTTACTATTGAAACCAGGAGTGAAGTGCCTGTTTCGTTTGATAATAATGGCTGCACTGTTTTTTGTTTGTTTGTTTTTTTATAGTGGTTAATGCCTGCATGCAATTCTCTGCTGTGATTGTGTCCACAAGCAAATGACAACACATTGGCGGCCCACGTAGCCGGGCCCCTGGGTCGGATGCCCCCATGTACGCACGCTATCTCTGCTTATGGGCCCAGCTATTAATGCCAAAAAATTATCAGTTTATCATGTTTAGTTCTGTACTGACAAGAACACTCTTTCTATCCATTTCACAGTTAGTTTATAATTTCATGCAGCTTTCTTTCCAAATCCACACATTGATCTTAATCCCTTTTTGTATCATCTCAGAAAATACATTTAACACATATACAAAAGTAGCTTTTTTATGTGGGGGAAAAAGTCCTATGGTCCTCTACAATCCTCTTTTGACCGTTCTGAAATATAACTTGCAGTCAAATAACAAATGAAAATGCCTTTAGAAAGGTTTATTTGCACAATAAAAAAACATGAAATATAGAAGAAACAACTTGTTGCATTGTTTAAAAAAAGTAATTTAAGCAAAAAAAAAAACCCAAAACAAGTTACTGATTTATAAAATGACCCAAAAACGTCAATCAATTACAATCAGTAATTTAAACAACTTCTTGGCTCAGTTTCTGTTCTCTCCCTTCGAACATGACAAAGGAGGGAAGACTAAATCCTGCCTACATGTGTGTTGCCTCAGCAGGGATGATATTACATGAGAAAAGTTGATCTCAGGAGAAACAGATCTGAAAGCAGCACAGAATGCCTGAGAGCTGCACTGACTGATGTTTTATATATTTTGAAATGTCAGCTGCCACCTGAATTTTGTGTTTCCTTTTCCATAAATAAAAACATTTCCACCATAAATTGGTGCAGAAACTTTCACCAGAATGCAGGAAATGAAGTGTTTAATGATCATAAGTTCTTGGGGAAGGTCCCTCCAGACCCCCCGCTAACTTGTCTCTGCATTGAAGTAATCTCTAAAAAATGTAGCCTGTGGCACATATTCACGTCAGCAATTAATAAAAATTCATTTATAAACCCCTGAACTTTAGCTCCTGTGTCTCAGCAAGTTTTATGTTCATGTTCTAAACTTTCTGCACATTCAAAATCTCTCCCACATATCACATATTTCAAGAATAATAATAAGTTGTAATAATTTGAGAAAAAAGTTATACTATTACAAGAATGAAATTGCAATTTTAATAGGAATAAAGTCATATTTTTATTTACCAAAATCTATCTACCCTGTACTCTGCTGTGCATTGGCATACATTTGTGTCTTTTTGATATAGTAGCATCCCCGTTAGACAGACACAGGACAGTTTGGGACTGTACTGGATGAGACAAGGAGGTGGAAAACTGAAACAACCTGAATTGTATCACTAGAGTGTCTGGTTTTTTTTTTTTTAGACACACACACAAGTTTGAAAAATTATTCACTTTGATTAATTGTTGATTGTTAATTGTTTCCTTTTTGCTTTAAAAATGACATTTATTTTTATTTTAAGTCAGTAGTATGACTGCAGTGTTTAAAGAGATAAAGCCTTCTTTTTGCAGAACCATCTGTTTCTGTCACCACAGCTCACTGATTTCCATCCTTCTCTCTCTACAGAAATTACACACTGACCGTTGGTAGCAGGTTGTTGTATCCAGGAGCTGAGGGAAGAACATGATGTTTAGATGCAGGCTGATAGATTTTATGCTTCAAAATGTTTATTCAAAATGTTTATGAATGTGTCTCTTACTTTTCAGTCAGAACACTTCCATCGAACCACTTCCATTTCCCATCTTCAGCTCTCAGGCCAATCCAGTATCCACCGGGGCTCCAACTCTTAGTTTCAATGAATGTCTGACAACAGAGAGACAGTTATCAGATATTTAAACACTATACTTAAATTAACACACTGTGGCCTACAGACTCAGTGTGTTCAGACCAACAGAGAATACATATTCAATTTATAGATTGAAAAATGTTCAGTTTACTGAAGATTACCTTCTCCGTTTGATCAGCTATAACAACCAGATCTGAAATCTTTCCTCTGCAGTTTTCTCGAGCTTCTTCCCAGGTTTTCTGACCAGAAACATCAGGGTTATTAATCCCATAGCAGCTGGACTGGGAGGGGAACCAGCCATCCTGACATGCTTTACACGTTCTGTCTGAAACAACAGAGACCAACCAATAAACAACATTACTGCGTTGTGTTATTTATTTTTATGTTATGTTATGTTTAATCTTATTAATGGGATCTGAACATACTTTGGTTCTTTGGTTTTGGGCAGTAGGCATCAATGCTCCACTGAGCTCGACTGACATTGAGCTCAATCCTCTCTGTCTTCAGCTCCTGGTTTTGTGATGTCAGGTTCTGGTTTTCTGCAGACAGGTTTGTGATGTTACTTTTTAAGACAGTATAGGCTTGTGTCAGGTTCTCCAACTGGACTGTCAGATTGTTGTGTTCCCTCCTCAAGTTTTCATTTTCTGAGCTGAGTTTGTTGTTCTGGTTTGTCAGGTTTCCATTGAGAGCCAGTAGAATCATTTGGTTTTCTTTCAGCTGGTTCGGCTCACTTTCAAGAATTAATGTAGCAACTGCAAATGGAAAATGTTCTTCTTAAGTGATAGTAATAATGAAAATTTGTCTTTGTCATTTTCCCATTTTTGGAAGCTTTGTGTTACTTCAGCTTTTCTAGCTTTTTGGGAGTGCACTCATTATGTTTCTGAAAATTATGAAATCAAAATATCCTATGAAAAAAATAAAACAATGTTTTCCATTTTACTCAAGTCCTTTGCTTCCTGCTGAAGCCTTGAATTTGACATTGCCTAAAAGAACTAGGTACTATAATTGTAAGTAGAAATGAATCAAATAGTGTATTTGTTGGGAATGCTGTTTCTAGCCGTGTGCTAGCAGGCCTTTATGGCAGCAGGACTGTATCTGTGGGAATGACTAAAAATCGACAGTGGCTGTGTTCATTGTTGTGGAGGAACATGTCAGCCAGTGCAACAGTGTGGCTCACTGAAGTGTTTTAATATTTTATAGACAACTTTGGAGCTCTATGGCACAGAGGAATAAGATCTATCAGGCTTTGATACACAGACACATTTGTTTGTAGGATCAATTCAGTGTTGGTTTGGGGCTGATCATGGAATATGTTGACAGTAATTCATTTGACTCATCCTTTAATCCCTTTTATGCATACATGTCTATTTTCCACTGATGCTGTCACCAGTCTTTCTCTGCAAAACACAAACATCACAGAGTGCTCTACAAGTTAGACTACAGGCTCGTGCAGACTACACGACTTTAAGCATCAGCTGACGGCAGTCTTGAAGTCGTGGCGTTCACACTATGTGACTGATTGATGACGGGGTCACACACACTACAGGAGCTGACAGCAGCTGTTGCACCCGACGCTGGTCTCCAAACCACTTTTTGTCAAGAAAACACAGGAGAAATGTGAAGCGGGAAATGAGCGATCCTGCACACGAAACAGCTGTTTGTTATTAATTTTAAAGACAAAGAATCTGGGTGAAAGGATGGATTAGCACATGCAGGTAGCAGGGATTGTCTGAGCTACAGAGAGAGCTGGAGGTGAGTTAAAAGGTGCAGCTCCCCGACACCCAGTTAACTCCTGACTGTGACGTCACAACTCACTGCCCAAAAAGGAGAACAACAAACGCACATGTGCACATTTTCAGCTGAGGACTGCGGCTTACTTTGGCCTCAACTCAACAATCAGTCAGGATTTCAGCTAAATGCTAAAGTTGCTGTTACTGTTACCTTGTCTGTGTCCGCTGGCAGAACACCGGCTGCTTTTTGTTCAGCTGCGGTCATGCTGTTGCCGAGGTGACATAAGTTTCGGACAGACGGTAACATTACAAAGTTGTTGTTTTCTTTAGCGTGAAATAATCCCAAACTTTGGACACTTTCTTCTTTGTCCCTGCTACTTTCTCTCTCTTCCTCCACTTTGCAAACAGCGTCGTTATATGTCGTGTTATAAGCGCGATGCAAAGAAATTGTGTCGAAGCATTTTACCATATTTAAATTACTGTGTAGAAGTTTGGGGTAACACATATCAAAATTCATTGCAATCGTTATTTATACTTAAAAAAAAAAAGAGCAATGAGAATAATTCACAACACTGGATATTTGGAACACACCAACTCATTATTTTCACAGTCTAAAACATTAAAACTATTTGATGTAGTTGAATTTCAAACAGCAGTAACAATTTATTGCCTGGCAATATACAGAAAAGGTTTTCTGAAAGAGAGGGGGGCTACAACTTAAGGGGAAAGTCAAATTGTAAAATGCCCAGTTTTCGAACTACTAGAAAGAGTTTCTGTTTATCTGTCAGTGGTGTTAAATTGTGGAATAAACTAAATAATGAATTAAAGCAATGTCCAAACATATTCCATTTTAAAAAGATGATCAAAGAAATTATATTCCAGAGGTACAGAGAAACACAGTGCTAATAATAACCGGGGTTTATATTGAATAATTTGCTGTATGTATAAATATTGTCTTGTATGGGTATATCTGTATGTGAATAGAACTTTTGAAATATATTTTCATTACAGATTTATTATCTCTGTAGACTTATTATTTGTAGTTATTTCCTTAAATATGGTAGTAAGAGTATAAAAGGGTAGGAGTACATAAGTTTTACTTCTTCCTACCTCCTTTTTGCACATGTAAATAGAGGTTTTTAAGTACTGGAAAGTATGGAGTTTTATTTTGTTGTTCATTTGTTTTTGCTACTATTTTTTGTTTCGTTGATTTTTTATTTTAATTTTATTTACATGTACAAAATAAAGATATCAATCAATTTTATTAATCGATTTTATTGATTTAATCGATGAATCGTTTCAGCCCTACTATGATGTTGACAAACTCAAGAGCTGGCTGCTCTAGTGTTTGTCCTGATGCTTTCTGAGATGCTGCACTGCACATTACAATCTTTGTTTTTGTTGTTTTTAAAAAAATCAAAACAAAAAAGCAAATTCAGTACATTGCCTTGTTTTTCATTATTACTGACAAAAGAAATTTTTAATGCTGAATAATTAGTTTTAATTGGTGGATGGGACTCAATCTATTGCTTCTACTGGCTAGTGTGTTCTATCTGTTATGTTTGTGCTACTCTTCAAAATAAAGGTTCTACAAGAAGATTTCCAATTAGGGCTAGGGTTCCTCCTCTTTGCATCAAGACGATACAGTATCTACACAAAAATATGGACTAAGTTGTCAATTTATTAGCGAAACCAAGCGAAAAGGAAAATTAATTATATTTTGCATGAGTAAGAGATTAACAGTTTATAAAAGGTGGTGATTCAACTGTATGATCATTTTGGAGCAAGTATATTGTGGTGGTCAACTGTAATGAATGAAACAAAGGTGATTCAGGTATTTAGTTTAGCCTCACAGATTAAGGCTTATTTTAGTTAAGTACTGTGGACAGTAAAGTGTTCTCAATAATTATAAAGATCAATGGCATAGAACTAATGGCAAGCACACTAAAAGGATTTACAAAAATTACCAGCCTAGTTTTATAATCAAGACTGCCTACATTTGAACAAATTCCTGAGTGAGGTTTTGGTCCTTTGTAGCCATAGATTATTATTTAGCACAGTTATATCTGTAGCTTCCATCCATAAATAACCATATCGTATTTTATTATTTAGCTTACTGCTGGTTTAGCTAAATTTGCAAATAAAACATCTGCTATATGTAAATGTAAGATATTAAAAGCAAAAAAAGAGGAGGCTTTTTGCACCTTTGCTGGTGTTTAAACAGCGTTGAAAATGTTATACTTTCTTTTTTACACATGGGCCGACCAAAGTTCGAACCCCACAACAAATTTACCTAACAAATTCACAATATATAAAACCTAAGCCAACTAACTCAACTATTTAACACTAAACAACATTTCCAGAACTGACAGCAAAATCAATTTTGAGTTAGTATTCTTCAAACTTCACTGGTGACTGTTGTATTTGGCTAAGACAGAGAGGGCTGTTTATTGTAGTTACCCTATTCTCCAGTAATTTCAGGTCAGTGAATGTGTCAATACTGTCAACATATTAAAATACAACATACTGCCATCTACTGGTCACCTGTCAGGCAAATCTTCCACGTCATATTGGAAACAAATTTATGTTCGAGCAACATATCACTAAGCTTGTCCAGTCATGTTTGTACCACCTCAGAAATATTGCAAAAATAAGATCTGTTTCTAATATTAGAGATCCATAAACTGTTTTCTCACATCTTGATTTTTGCAAAAGCCTCTTCTCTTGTCTTAATCAAAAAACCTTAAAATGACTACAGACTGTACAGAACTCAGCTGCTCTGCTTTTATACGATCACATCACACCTGTTTTAGCTTCTTTACACTGGATCCCTGTATGTTTCAGGATTAATTTTAAAATCCTGTTGATTACTTTTCAGGCTCTCCACGGCCTGGCTCTAGATTATATTTTGGATCTTTTAACTCCTTCTGAGCCTTTGCGTAACCTGAGATCCTCAGGCAGGGGTCTCCTGTCTCTACCTGTGTCCCAGAGGCTCTGGAACGACCTGCCCAAGGAAATGAGGCTGTGTGAGTCAGTGTCTTCTTGTAAATCTCTTTTACAAACAGATTTTTATCGGAACGCATTTCCTGATTTTATCTGAGCCTCCTGTTTATTTTACTAGTCTCATTTTATCTCCTCTTATATCCTATGTAGTTAAAGTTATATTTTATTGTTGTTGTTTATATTTTTATTATATTTTGCTCGCATGTATTTTATCACTGACTGTGGTATTTGATGTCATCTCTGTGTGTCGTGTGAAGCACTTTGCACGTTGTTTGATAAGTGCTCTATAAATAAAGATGGTTATTATTATTATTATTATTAATGTGCCTCCATGAACATTGAAACTGTGTTTTGTTGCTGTAATTATTCCTCCTGTTCATACGGGCAAATAAGAGATCCCTTCCTAACACCCCCAAATCTCGTTCTTTACTGGAAGCTAATATGACGTTTCAGCAGTCTGACTTTGTCAAATCACGTGTTTATCTTCCTAAGATAAGATAGTCTTTTTAGTGCAAAACATCTTTGTTATGTTATTATTGCTCCTCTGCAGCTCAGCACAGATATACTCAAACACAAAGAGCTAAGAAGAAAAAAAAAATTATTTGAACTGACATTGTAATAGAAGGATAGAAGGTACTCACAGTAGATACGAAGGGCCATGATCCCTAACAGAATCACCCAGCACACTGCCACTGGTTTCCACCAGTGGCAGTGTGCTGGGTGATTCTGTCGGATTCTGTCGGATTCTGTCGGAGTGAAGGAGAGAAACTTCTGATCTGACAGAAAAATAAAAGCATTAAAACATTCAAATTTACAACCTTCACCACTATCACATTTTTTAACATCATGGTTGATAAATAAATCTCATGCTTAAAAATATTGCATTTGTGAAAAGTATGAAGTCCATAATGCACCTGAAGTGACGGCCATTCTATCCACAGCACCTTCTGCTGCATTAACATAGTCAGCTTCTTCCTCAATTACCTCTGAAAGAGATCCAGATCAAACACAAATGTTTATATGCTTAAATTGAATATATGCAGTCACACCAAAAGTAATAATATTAATAATAATAATAATAATAATCTTTTTCAATGTAATTTAAATTTATTTAACACAATCTTTAAGCAGGTGAGACCTGTCTTTTAGAAGGGCGACCTGGCCAAGACAGCAGCATAAAAAAGGTTACAGACGACAGCAATACCACAAAAAATATATTTCCGTATCAAATAATTAAACTAACTTTAAAATAATTATGCACAGTGACAAGTACCAACCAACAAATTGACTTTTAAAAGGTAAGACAGTAACAGAAACCAGAACTCTTTCATAGAGCGCTTTACTGAAAGGCACAAAATATGTTGCACACACTGGAGAACTCAAAAGATGGATTTTATTATCATATTCGACAATGTTAATCAAATTTCTGTCAGTCATGCAAAGAATGAGAGGAAGCTGAGAATCTCAAAGTTACAGTGTATTACTTATTTAACTCCTTACTGGCTGATAAAGAAACATTACATTTTTAAAAAGGCAGCTTGTGTTTTTCTGTTTATTCTAATAAAAGCATAAAGGTCAACAGCAGACCTACACTCACTGGCCACTTTATTAGGTACACCTGTTCAATTGCTTGTTAACACAAATAGCCAATTAACCAATAACATGGCATCAAATCAATGCAAAACCAAACAATTAAATCTTTCGATTACCAATGCGTTGAGCCGAGTGCAACAATCATAATGTAAAAGATGGAATTGGAAATGAATGTGGGCATTTTAAAATCTGTTGGTGCTCGAGCGCAGGTGTTGTCAACAATTAAAAGTAAGTATATAAAATGCCTATACATAAAAAGATGTACAGTAGTAGACATGTCTTACCTGCAGACACATAAACAGAAGAATTATTTAAAGTACCAGTTGCCTTCAGTGGTTTTCTGTTCATCTTGAACTAATGTTTATATTCCTGCCGCAGTCCTGTGTGACGGCTCTCGAGCTGCAAAGTATTGCTGATGTTGTGTCTGCTGCTTAGTCTTCAGTGTACTTCTGCTTTGAGGTTTTGACAGTGTGTCTTTTTCAACAGCAGCTAATACTGGATTGTCTGCACGGTGTCTTATGATATTACCAGTGGGAGAGCAGCGTTTACACCAGTTGTTATTTAAAGCCCCTTTACATGAGGTGGCAATAGAAAGATTTCAGTTGAATTTTGTTAAACTGTGGAGGCCTTACTGATCTCTACTGATTTTCTGAAAACTGGTCAATAGTCAGACTCACAGTATCAATGATCCAAAACTGTATTACACATATATATACACACACACACACACACACAAAATACAAAAGCATCTTGGAAAAATAAAACCCCTTATACACAATATTTGAAATTAATTACAACAAACTGAAGTAGAATTTTATACATTTTCTTTTTTACAAGCCAGCTGATGTTATTGTACGTGTCATATGTGCTGGGTGATTCTGTAAGGGATCATGGCCCTTCGTATCTACTGTTAGTACCTTCTATCCTTCTATTACAATGTCAGTTCAAATCAATTTTTTACATTATGATTGTGTGCAGACTATCCAGTAATCTCTTCAGTTCTGATTACAGATCTTAAACAGATAAAGCTTTCTTCTCACAGATCCATCGATGTTTCTCATCACACTTCACAGCTTCCCATTTCTTGGAAGGTGTCCCTCCGACAGAAATCACACAATGAGCTTCACCAGAAGGTGGTTCTGTCCAGTAGCTGAGGAAAGAACGTGATGGTTAGATCCCAGCTGACACATTTTATTATTCATGGTGTTTAGAAAATCATCTTACTCTTGAGTCTTTAGAAAAGTTCCATTGATCCACGTCCAATTTCCAGCTTCAACTCTCAGGCCAATCCAGTAGCCATAACTGCCCCAGTTAAAGTTGACATATTCCTGATATTCACAGAAAGACAATATCAGTTTATCATGTTTAACCACTGTACTGACAAAACACTCTGTGGCTTTAACTGTTTCTGACTTCATGCAGCTTCTTTTCTAAACCCTCTAAATCAGCTAAATAATCCACACATTGATCTCCATCCTTTTTTCATCATATACACAGAAAATACATTTGACACATGTACTGTATATCTCTAGTGTTATCAAGGTTTGTCTGAGGTTCTCCTGTGCAGGATTAGAATGCTATACATTTAGATCAAGGGAGTTCACATTTATCATGCACATTTCAAAGTACATTTCAACGTTGTTGTTTAAGCACATTTAAGAAATCCTTTACAAAATAAATGTTAATCTAGTGTTTTCATTTCTGTTTAAATTAAATCTTTTTCAAATATAAGTAATGAGATTACATCTCAGGGGGAGAAACTTGTTATATTTCACAGAGAAGAGAATGGTTTTTAGTTCTGCTTGAAGTTGTGACAGTTGTTGTTTGGTTAGTGGTGAATGCTGAGTTGATGGCAAGTTTTCTACTTTAGTGGTTTTAAGCTACACTGTTTGTCTGCAGCATCGTCTCACACTGCTGCAGTTCACCTTTCATCAACCAACAGTAACTTTTATCATAATCAAAAAGATTTGCTGGGTTTTGAGACCCCAAAGGAAAGGTTTGCTCACCCTAAGTGCTGTTTCTGGGCAGTTCGATCGTAAAACTGGCCACCTTTGGAGCCTGATTGTTAAAATGACAAAGAAACACTAACCAGAAATTAGCTTTCTCCTGAGCAGCCTATCAGAACTCTTTTTAAGAGAGGGCAGGAGACCCTAAACTGCCCCCCCCCACACACACAAGTAACCATGGCAACTGACCTCCCTCTTTGTTTAATTACCTCACATCAAAGGATATTCTCTCCTTCACGCGTTACTTCGCAAGTTACTTAACTAGCTCTCTCCACTCCATTTGAGTAGTAATGTTACCATGTTGTTGATATTTGTTGTTGAAAAGAATCTAAAAAGAATCTAAATAAGTTAATTTTGCAGTGTTTTAATTTTCAGCAAGGATCCCTGACATTTCTTCATTTTATGTTGTAACCAAACGCTTTGGGCCCAACACTTTCTGATACTTCCTTTAGAAATTATGATAAAGAAATGTCATCGTATAGTACTCGATTAATTTTCCAGCTCGAATTAATGTTAAATCGCTAAATTCCCCAGATCCTGAGCAAAGATTGTTTTAGGATTAATCAAAGCTATCGTCATGGAACCAGAGCTAAATACAAAAAATAAGTATTACATGCCATCATCATCAAATGCCGTTTTAATGTATAAATGTCACTCTGTATTTACGTGTTCATAATCTGATGCCATTTGTGTAACTTGCTTATATTCTCTAAGTAAGAATGTAACATTCACACAAATTCATACACTGGCGGAACAGCCGCCAGGGGCAATTTGGGGTTCAGTATCTTGCCCAAGGACACTTCGACTTGCAACCTGGGGGGAGCCGGGATTGAACCGCCGCCCTTCCGATTAACATCAGCCCGGCTGACGGTGAGTGTCCTGGTTTTTTCTCCTTTTTATCAGTTATTCTGCTTTTTCCCTGGTTTTCTGTTCCCTGCCTGCCTCCCTCCCTGTGTTTTCTCCCCTGTGTGCTCTCTCTCTCTCTCTCTCTCTCTCTCTCTCTCTCTCTCTCTCTCTCCCTCTGCTCCTGAGCCCAGCCAACTACCTGCACCTGCATCCCATCAGCCACCTCGTCAGCCTGCCACACCTGCCAGTAATCACCTCATGCCTGCCTGTATTTCAACCCTGGTTCTCCACACCATCCTGGCTTGATCGTTGTAGCTCCATACCCGGTGCCACCTCCGTGTTCAGGCTATCATGTTTTTTCACATTTTCCCTGTGCTTTGTCCCCGTCACCTCTAACCCTGTCTCTCTGTCTGTTTCCCTCCTAGGGACACTCACCCTCGTCCTCCGTTCAGTCGGCTGGGCTCATCCACCGGCCCTCTCCTCCTCAGACTACCCCCACGGCGTCCTCCCTGTTCCCCCACCGCTCCTCGCTTCCTCGGTCCCAGTGTTCCCCGGCTCCTTGGCCCCCAGTCTTCCTGGTTCCCCGTGCCTGTGTTTCCCCGACATCCACCTCTCCCTCCACTCCAGTCCCTCTACCCCTTTGTAAGAGTTAATGTAAGAGAAGTTAAGTTAATTCACATTTTTGAGGTAATTTACTAAAAATATATTTACAGTGTTTATTCAGTTCACGGCATTTTTTATTTGTATCACAGTTGGTATCTAAATCATTACATTTGAATCTGTAAATCAGCTACGATATTAAGCAGAATCTACCTCTGTGTTTTCTTTGCATTTACTTCAGTCTAACTCCTGCTAGCTCCTGATTGGTTAGTTCGGTCATGTGAGAGGGAGGACGAGGAAGTGTTGTTGTTGTGACGAGGTGTGAAAAGTAAAGTGCTGCGTAAGAAAGTTATCCGTCTCCATCCTGTTGTTTTTCTCATAAAGAGTGTTCCAACCACCTAACATCGAACCCCCACGTTACATTTGGTGGCAGCGGTGGGATGATTTTGTTGGTTTTTCGCATTTGGTGAGTTTTTATTCCTCCGAACTGGGGAGATAGTCACTTTTGCTACCGGGATTTTTTTTTCACTCTTTGAGAGCACATGATGAACTGAACACTGTTAGTTGGAGATATTAAGGATTTCTGCAGTTTTTCTCGTTTTTTCATGCTTGTTGTGATTTTTGGGATTGGATTTTTCACGCTATGTCATCTGATGAAAGTGAATCTGGGCAGCCTTCCGCTTCACAACGAGTGGATGATACGAGGGCTAGTACCATCCCATTGGCCCCACATGCTGTCTCCAGTGGCCTAAAAATTGATCTTCCGCCTGCTTTTAAAGGAGATGGGACTGAATCTTTCACAAGTTGGTCTCGACGCTTCGAAGTGGCAGTACAGGCTATGACTCCACCTGATGCAGATTTTTGTACAGTAATGGCCTCCATCCTCCCCACTCGCCTAGCTGATGCTGCATTTCTGTATTGGGACAGCCTCCCTCCTTTAACTCAGAAAGACTATGACTCAGTGAAGGGGAGGCTTAGAGAAGTTTTTGGGCCTCAGTACTCCCTGCCATTCTTCCAGACACATGTGAATGCTCGCCCTCGTAAACCAGGTGAAAGTTTGGATGTGTACAGTGCAGACATCACTCGTCTTGTGCTAGAAGCTTTTCCCAACTATGACCACAACGCTATAGAAGGTGAAAAATTTGCCGTTTTGTTGCTGGATTAGATCCACTTTTACAGTCAAAAATCCATGAGATGGGTGCAGAGGACCTTGGGGACGCCGTGCGCATTGCCAGCCGCTGCGAGAGAGCACGTGCAGCACTACAACTGACTGCTGCGGGATCCATCCACGCACAACCTTCAGAACAGGTAGCCATGGTTCGTCCGAAACCTACTGATGAAAAACTTCTTCAAGCGGTTGAGCAGCTCACTCTTACTGTACACAGTTTGAAATATGAAGTAGAGCAGTTACGAGAGAAACACAGTTACCTTGCTCAGCGTGTTGACTCTAGACCTGATCGATCCTCCTCCAGTGAAGCTCGATACAGTACACGTAGTGGCTCTCCTTCACCATACCATGTCAGACAACACCCCAGAGACTATTACCCACCTGAGCAGTATTATGGTCGTGATCCCGAGTCCCGCTACGAACATTGTTCTCCTTCTCCTGTTCGTCAGAGATACAATGAGTGGAACAGCAATGACAGACGGGAACGCCAGCATTCTCCATCACGCCCATCCTACCAGTATCCTAGGTATAGTCGCCATGACGATGAGGACACTAACCAACGAAGACGCAGTCCTAGTCCAGCTCCACAGAGAAAGAGAGAGGCAAGTCCACAGACTAGGGGCACTGTCCATTTCCAGTCTCCTGAAAGACACACCCATTCTGGCGTCAACCGACAGGGAAACTTTCAGTAGCTGCTGTTGAGGGGCAAACATCGGCTACTTGTTCCCAGCCCCAGAATGATACACCACCTTTGATGCCTGAGGACACTGACTCACAACTTGATGAATCTGCTTCTTCGAACATCCTTACTATTGTTGAAGGCATTGAAGTGTGCACTTTAATCGACTCTGGCTCTTTTGTCTCCATTGTGAGTGAAGATTTCCGAAACTCCCATCCAGCTTTAAGAAAACGCCCGATGACAGCCTCTTCAGTGCCAGCTCGCTCAGTCAATGGACAGCACCTGGACATTCTTGGCAAGTTAACCGTTGGGATCAGAATTGGAAAACAGGTATGGCAGCAGGAATTTGAAGTTCTCAG